GTATAACTTCACAGATTTGTGAGCCCTAACAGTAATCCAAATGTAGTGAAACTGACTCCTCCTTGGGTCAGCATTGATTTCTACCCAGGGACTCAGAGTGACTCCCTTGCATTATTTCTGAGGGTCCTGCCTGTCTACTTTGGAGGTTCCCAACCTGAGGAACTCTGCTCAGAATGAAGCTCCCCCACCCCTAACCTCACACTTAGTACCCACACCTGGAAAACTGCACTGACCACTGCTTGGGGGTTAGAAGCAGACAGACTGGGCTCCTGTCTGAGCAATACCATTTTCCAGCCACAAGTGACCCCAGGAAAGTTCCTCCACTTCTCTGGCCTTCAGATTCCTCGCTCCTTAAAATGGCAGGCATTCCTTTTGCTTTATCCATGACGATACCCTGAGCTCCAGATCGTCTATCAAGATGCCAATTTTAATATTCCACTTAGATGTGTCATGGGCATCTGAAATCAAATATGAAAATCTGAAGTCTTAACACTCCCCCGTGCCCAGCACCTTGGTCCAAACTCACTCCTCCCCGTGTCTTGCCACTGTCAGCCAATGGGGTCACCGTCTCCCAGCTATTCGGGCCTAAGCCTGGGGGCCATCCTCACTTCTTCCATGTCCTCTACCTTCTCATCCATCTGCAAGCCCTGTCGGCTTTATCTCCAAAATATACATTGAATCTGTCCTCTGTTCTCCAGCCCCTGGCACTGCTCCCATCAGAGCCACCATCATTTCTAGCCTGAACAACCCAGCAGACTCCTTAGCGGGCCTCCCTGTTTCCAGTCTTGCCCTCCTGTGAAGCATCCTCCACACTGTACCCACAGTGATCCTTAAAGAATGTAAGCAAGGTGGATTAAGTCTGCCCATCATAAGGCCGGACCTTCCCCTGTGTTCACCACACCCCCAGCACACCAGCCTTCTGTATGTTTCTTAAACACACCCAGAGCCTTCACATTCACTGTCCCCTGTGGCGGGAACAACACTTCTCAGCGTTCAAGCCTCACCTCCCGTGTCACCTCCTCAGACAGCCTTCCCTGACCACCCATCCCTTTCCATGCAATAATTCCTTTTTATTTCCTATAAAGCACTTACCACTACCTGAAATCATCTTAAACTATTACCCTCTCTCTCTTCCGCTAGCAAGCACACTCCATGGGGGGAATGGAACTTGCTGCCTCGTGTACTACCCTGTCACCAATGCCTGGAGCACTTCTAGACATGTGGTAGGTGCTCAGTACATTTGGTGAAAACTGAATTACATGAAACAATGTGTATAAAGCTTGTGATAGCAGATGCTTCTCATGGCATGAGAATCACTTGTGCATGTGCTCACCTCTGATGCTAGACTGTGGCTCCTAACAGCCAGGACAGGATTTTCAACATGGTGGGTTACCAGGAAATATTTCCTGGCAAAGACCACTCAGGTGGGAGCTGCCTCATTTCAGCCTCTGAGGTCAACACCTTCTTGTGGAATTTTCTAGAGACCCACTAGGACATTTTGCAGTGGCCCCTGCTCTCCTGAGTCTGTGCACGTTCATTTCAGTGAAAAGCTGGTCTTCGTAGAAGATGATCCTCATCTTTTGTGAATTAAGACTGGGATTTTTCCATTGTAAAATGACTATAACTCAATTAAAAATGTGAAAACAAACAAAAAACAAAGACTGGGGTTTTTCCTAATGTTTACAATTTATGGAATCAAAATTTCCTAAAAGATGTCTAAATTTAACGTTACCTGAGCACTTTTAGAACACGCGCCTTCTGTTACACATCCCTGTCTCCCCGATTCAAGTTACATGGTGGTGTGTCATTTTCTAGGCTCGCTCCCCTCCTCTTCGCCACTCAGTCACAAATCTGGTCTGCTTCCTGCTCTGGACCACCCCCTGGCCGCCCTTCTTGGCACTGCGCTTGCATCTTCCCGGGCCACTGCAACCACTTCATTAGTTCTCTGACATCTCTGCGCATCTGTTCACGCCCTGGCTGTCAGAGTGAGTGCTCGCGGCCTCTCTCTCTTCCTGGGACCCTCCCCTCGTATGACATCCTCGGGTGATGTTCACACACGGCGGCACACCGCTTTAAGATCCGGCGCTGCACCTTTCTGACTCTTCTTCCCACCCCCTCCCTCTTTTGCACTCCCTGGCAATTCAGCTTCCTGCGCCCCCGCCCACACACATCCTTACTGGCCTGAACTTGGCACATACTGTCAACCCTGTGTGGAGCACTCCTCTCCTTCCTTCAAAACCCCACTTGGAAGTACTCAGGAAGTCTTCAATGACCGACATGTCTATTGTAACTGCCTCCACCACCACCACCACACACACACTTAAATTATGCACATTTCAGCTATGACATCCATCTAGACTGCAGAGTGATCACCACCACAAGTCTAGTTACCATCCGTCACCACACTGTGCACATACCTCCTGCTACTGTTGTCCTCTTGTCACTGTAGCCCTTCCAAGCCCAAGGGACGGAACCACCCACTGTCCCATCTGTGGCAGATTATACTTTCTTAAATGGCTGCAACTCCACCTCTCATCCTACATGCTGTTCTTACAACGTTTGGAGAGGCAGGGTCTAGGCACCGTCCTCTTGAATGCGGGTGGGCTCGTGACCGCTTCACCCAATAGAAGAGAAGAGAAGGAATGCCGTGTGATTTCTGAGTCTGGGTCATAACAGGTCATTCAGCTGCTGCCTCCTCTCTCTTTGGACACAGCCAGAGTGCTCTGAGGAGACCCAGGCCATGTGGGACACCACATGTGGACACAGGCAATACCCTCAGCCCCGGAAGAGGGCTCAGCTGCTGGCTGGCACCAACGGTGGGCACAGGAGCAAGGAAGCCTTCGGGATGGCTCTGGCCCCAGTCTAGCTGAGCCTGGTCAGCTCCTAGAACTGTGAGACACCATCATAAAATCACTGTATATAATAAAATCAAGCCACCACATTTTGAGGGTGATCTGTCGCACTGTCTTGGGAAACAGGAACCCAGTTGGTACACAGCTATAACCTGACTGTCTGAGCCCCTCGAGAACAGAGACAGAGCCTGGCCTGCCTCAGATGGCGCCATCCTCGCTTCCACGGGTGACATCTAAAGGTTTGGTAGAGAAGTTGAATGATTTCTCCCATGTCTGTGCAGGGCTGCCCTCACTCCCGAATGGACTCCCCCAGTGTTCTGCCAGAGCACGGGGACCTCACTTTTAGATCTGCCCTCCCCCAGCTGCCCTTTAAATTGAAGACGGCTCCTGCACTCCCCGACCCCACCCGAAGGAGGATCTCAGGACGGGACAGATTCCTCCAGGTGGAAGAGTTCCCCAGCTGCTTTCCTCACTGTTAAGAAAGACTCTAGGGCCTCGAGAAACACCAGGTGTCTGAGAAGGCAGAGAAGAGGTACCATTGACCCTTGGCCCCTACTCTCTGAATTGCTGATGACTTTGATAATTTGGGGCAAACCCAAAGGTTGCTGTGACATGTGTCATTCTGCCGAGGCTGGCAGCCAAGTTGTGTGGGGAGGCTGCATGTGGAGCAAGTCACTGGCTGGTGACAAAGCCAGTTTGCTGCCCAGACCTACATCTCGACAGGGGTATCTCCTTCCTACGGAACCAGCCACCAGACCCACAGAGAAAGCCACCTCCCAGTGCTTGGGATTGATGTCTGAGAAAGGGATGGCTCCTTGGCAGGGAATGGAATTATATTTAGTGATATTTCCATATCTGGGGATTTGGGAAGATCCCCACATACGTTCTTCACAAATGCTTTGTGCCCCAGCGGGCGAGGAAGGGAAACTTCACTGACTTGTCAATGTTGACAAAACAACCCCCGTCTGGCAGGGTGGATATGGAGGAAATTGTACAGATCTGCTGAGTTGTCTTTAGCAGATTTAATTGTGGGTCCAGCCCCACTCAGCTGCTTCCAGCTGAGCCCTTGAGACCTGTCTTCAGTCACTGCCAGTGCCTGCCTGCCCCACTTGTGTCCCCACTGTGGGCAGGCGGGAGGGGTCAGGTGTCCTGTCTCCATGGTGGGAGGAGGACGCTGGCTGAGGCGTTTCTGCACAAAACATCATGGATTCAAGCTGGGGCAAGTCCCTGGGGGCGCTGGGACACAGTGGGCCATCGGCAGCTGGGCAGACCACGGCACCAAGCACATCCACGTTCTGGGTTTAGTTAGTGCCACTTCCTATGGTATTAACCTTCATCGGGAAAGCGTGAGCCTGTCCCTGTACACTGCAAGTACAAAGAGGTCAAGCCATTTGCTTATTAAAGTGAAATTGATGTAGGATGATGTTGAATTAGAAGTTGTGACTGAAGCTCTAAGAGACAATAGGTGTCTGACACCAAAGAGAACGGGAAAGACTACTCACCCCAAAACCGTCTAGACAGAGTCATCCAGACATCCCATTCACGACCCAAGCAGCCCTCACCCACAGCGATGGTGGAAATTGGCGTGAAAGAGTCCAGAAGGAGGCGGGTTTTAGAAAGAGGAGTTTTTGGAGAGAGCTGACAGTGTGCCCTGCATCCTAGCATCCCCCCAGAGGGAGAGGCGAGGGTACCAGGAGTGCTTGCCTCTCCCCTTAAGCCTAGAAAGAGGCGCTCCAGGCACAGCTGCACCCTGAAGGCCCTGTGCAGGCCCACCCTGCACAGCTGAAAACTGAAACTTGACTTTTCACCTGAAGTCACCATAGGACTTTTCATTATTTATTTTATTTCATTTATTTTATTTTCTTATTGGCGGCATTGGGGATTGAACCCAGGACCTCATGCATGCTAAGCATGCACTATACCACTGAGCTATACCCTCCCCCCTTGATTATTTAAGAATAAGCAGGAAAAGACACAAAATTGCTTTCTGATTATATTCCCTGAGTCTGGCTTGATCAGCTTACGGCTGAAAGCTTGCAACCCCCAAAGAGCTCTCCTTAAAGTGTTTTTAATTGTTCAAATCAACCACCACATCCAACATGACCTGGAGAAATAGGCAAGACTGGTGTTATTATCTCCATTTGGCAGATGAGGAGGCTGGTGTAGAAAGGTGAAAAAACTCCTTCAAGGTCAGAGAGCACACCCCCGCTGGCCCTCTGGCTTGGTGTCTTCCTCTGTGTGATTTTGTTCAGAATGCTATCTGGTTCTGAGTTCAGCTCCAGAGCATCTCCCCATGGTTAGAAGCAGGATTCCATTTCCAGCCTCCCTCAGGGTACTAAAAGCAGGGACACCAGGGTCAGGACTCTGGTAGGAGGACTTTGCCTCCTTCCTCCACTGCCAAGTACATTGGTAAAATTCTGGTAGCTGAGAGGGAAAAAAAAAAGCTATTCAGTATTGGAAATGGTCTAAAGAACAAGAAGAAAGTGCCAGTCTCCGTAAATTGCAAAACATGTCACATGAGCTCTCTTTGCTCCTTCACATGGTAGAAATTCATCCAACTAGAAGGGAATTGAACAGAAAAACCCATGATTCCCATTCTTTTCTTTTTTTTTGATTTTTTTAAAAATGGAGGTTCGGGGGATCGAACCCAGGACTTCACGTGTGCTAAGTGTGCACTCTACCACTAAGCTCTACCCGCTCTCCCATGATTCCTGTTCTTGGTGAGACATCATCACATCCGAATTACCAGGCCTCCAACCCTGCCCACAGCCATTTTTCTCACGCTTTGCGAGGGAAGTTCCAGCTGGGAACGCCTCATGCGGAGGGATCTAAAGCGGGCGAAGGTGGTCAGGCGGCTGTCGGGATGACTGAGGACAGGCAGGCAAGGGTCCTCGACCTGGCCCAT